GTTTCGACCTGATGATGATAAAACCTTGTCGAAACGTTGTACATTTGCTGTTATGTTAAACTTATATTAAAGTTTTTCTTCATTACCCATTCAAGCCATCTCCAGCCGTCACCATCCACTTCAATCTACCCACCCATCTAAACAGCACATTAAATCCTCGTGGAACTGACTCTTCTTATGGTACTTACAACTGTTAACTCGGTAGATACGTTAAGATAAACTTAGGTCACCTCAACTAGTTTACTTATCAAATACTTGTTTTCTAAGAAGTAAATCCCAATTGATGTTTACTTTGACGACGTTTTCTGCTTCAGAAGTGACAGAACTTACTTTGACATTGGTAGCCCTGCTTCCCGAACCCCCTGAAAGAGGAAAAAAATAAAGATGTTTTAGTTTCGATAGAAAAAAATATTATGTTTTTATGTAACCTCACTGTCAATAAAAAAAATAATACCCGTGGGATGCTCCCTAAACACCAAGCAATGAAAAAAAAAAAAAAGAATGTGAAGTAGATACAACGTTTGGTTCACACGAAGAAAATATTAGGATATCAACAACAACATTACGAATCAGGTTTCACACTATCTAGGCTGGGTGTGGACTAGTTTGCGCAGGTTTCTTGGTTCGCGACTATTTTGCCGTGAAATCCGCTCCGCACTTTGAGGCCTGCGGTGCGATATAAGAGTAACGGTATAACTATTCGACTAAATACGAGTAGCCCAAGAGTTAGCGATAGGTGCTGTTGACTGGTCGCATTTCCTCTAGTCAGCTCAAAATTAGGGATGGCTGGCGCAGTTGTTTATTTGTGTAGCTTTGCGCAAAATAAAAAGGGTTTAGTGCAAACAAAATAGTGCAAGAACTAACAAAGAAACAGTTTGAAGTTTTTATTTAAACGTGCATGTTTAGGTACTGACGTGTTACAGTTGATTTAAACGGGTATGTTTAGGTACTGACGTGTTACAGTTCACATTAACAGGTATGTTTAGGTACTGACGTGTTACAGTTGATTTAAACGAATATGTTTAGGTACTGACGTGTTACAGTTGATTTAAACGGGTATGTTTAGGTGCTGACGTGTTGCAGTTCACTTAAACGGGTATGTTTAGGTACTGACGTGTTACAGTTCACTTAAACGGGTATGTTTAGGTACTGACGTGTTACAGTTCACTTAAACGGGTATGTTTAGGTGCTGACGTGTTACAGTTCACATAAACGGGTATGTTTAGGTACTGACGTGTTACAGTTCACTTAAACGAATATGTTTAGGTACTGACGTGTTACAGTTGATTTAAACGAATATGTTTAGCTACTGACGTGTTACAGTTCACATAAACGAATATGTTTAGCTACTGACGTGTTACAGTTCACATAAACGGGTATGTTTAGGTGCTGATGTGTTACAGTTCACATAAACGAATATGTTTAGGTACTGATGTGTTACAGTTCACATAAACGAATATGTTTAGGTACTGATGTGTTACAGTTCACATAAACGAATATGTTTAGC